CCTTGACCACGGGACTTCCTAGCACTTCCACACACACGCTGACACATGCTTATATGCTCACATACACGCTTATACACACTTGTACTCATGTGCTCCCTCACTCCTGTCATACCCCCGGTGCCCTGTGCTATGTGGCGCATCTCTCCGGAGTGTTTCCTTGTCTCCTCTGGCCCTGATATTAGGACTCACACTGTTCCTGTGTGTGTTCCACAAATCCAGGGTAGGCCGGGCGCGTGGCAGGTCCTGTGGCGAGCATCAGTCAGTCAGGCACTCTAGGAGGAGGGAGCAGCGTGACCGTGTCCCCGAGTGGGTGTGGACCTCGGCGGGGTCACGTCTCGTGCCCAGTGTTCCCGACTGCCGGCTTCAGCGATGCCCTGGGCCCACCCAGGCGTCCGCACGTCTTCCTGGCTTCTTCCGCGCTGGGGCTGGATGCCGTGTGTGCTCATATTTGTCCACCTGCTGTCACTGAGGTGCCTACCACGGTTCGTAGGAAACAGGCCCTCACAGAGTCCCTAAAAGCTCAGACGTTCTTACCTTCCTCAGTATTTTGTAGAGCTAGCCCATGGCTGACTACATTATTCAGGTCCTGGACCTGGCACCTTGAAAAACGCCAGGTGCACGTATGTGTGTGCCCCAAATCCTGGAGGGTGGAGACATGTAGAGGAAGGGCTATGGTATGACCATGCCCTGTGGGGGTGCTCTCGCCATCTGCCCCTTTAGTGAGGGCGTGCGCCCTTTGGCAAAGAGCAGGTAATGGCCACGAGTACTCTGCGCCTTCCCTGGTGAGGGCCGTCGACTGCATGGAGGCAGAGGAACAGGTGTCTTGGTTCTGACGTCCTAATCCTGCCCTGCGACCCTACGCCCTAACCTCGGCTCCATGACCGTCTAGGTGCAGTGCTGCTCTTGAGCCCCCCAGGCCCTCCTCTCTGCCCCTCCTCCAGGCTTGGCCCATCTCTGCTGCCCACCCCATGCGGGTCTCCACCACAGACCTTCCACAGCCCGCACTCGCTGTCCCTGTGCCCCTTGCTCCCTCTCCCTCCAGCCGCACGCGGTCCAGCTCAGCTACCTGTCACGGCCCGGACAGCACAGTCCTCGCACGAGGCCCTGCCCTGTCGTCTACCAGCCAGGCAGTTCTCCGAAACTTCCCTCAGGGCCCCTGGGCCAGTGTGTTTTACCCCCACCTGGTTCAGCACTCATGCTTCCCTCCGGTTTGCCTCGCCCGCTTCCTGCTCCCCCAGGGCCCCATCCTCCACGCTCCTCCAGCAGCCCTCCCCCCAGGGCCCCCGTCCTCCACGCTTCTCATCCTGAGGCTACAGCCCTTAGGGCAGCCGCCTCCCTCCCCACTAAGCATATGGACTGCACCTTCCTCCAGGCGTTAATAGTCTGCTTACCAGGCTTCACAGCCCCTTTCCTCCTCTCAGATTGGGCCAGCTGTTTGGC